AGTTGTCCTCTGACCTCCCCAAGTGTCCTCTGGCATACATGTTCACAGATATTCACGCATACATACAAATACACCAAACAAAAATGTAATAAAATATAATATTAGGGAGATTATTTGGGCAGAGGAAGGGGATCATCTGTAGTAGGGGAATGAAAGGAAAATGGGGGATAAAATATGATTTCTACATCTTTGTGATAATTCTGAAATCAGGAACTATGCAATCTCCTACTTTTTTTCAAGACTGATTTTATTTTCAGCTCAGGTCTAGCATAGCTATAATCTGCAATAGTAGAAGAAGAGGTTGAAGAAGAAAGAATAAAGTTTATGTAATTAGATCCTATCTTATCAAACAAATATTTATATTTTTATTTAGGGTCCATGAGATTATGAGGATATTATATACTCAGCTTTCAACTCCATACAGCTGTCTCATCTTTAGGAATCTGAAAGTCATTCCCAGAAGATGCAATCCTCTGAAAAAATGGGCCCCTGGGAATGTAAATTTCTGTCTTCCATAACTGTCTGGGCATGGGTAAAGCTGTTCTAGCCACATTTTTCTCTCACCAACACGTCATAGCTTTTCAGTTCTGTGTTTCCATTAAGGCCCTTCTCTCCTTGCCCCACCTGCTTGCTTCCTTGTTCTCCTTCAAATGCTCATTCACCTCTATGCCAATCAAAGCGGAGTTACAATCTCACACTGAGTTCTCTGCTGCACCCTCTTTCACATTCTGGCTATGGAATCCGTATATCCTTGTTGGCATCTTGAACCGTTTATTTCATTTTCTTATCTCGGTTTATGTTATGTGCTTTCAGGTGAGAAAATTCCTTTCTCACTAGTCAGTCCATTCATGGTCTACACATGTCCATAAAGTCAGAAAAATGTCAAAGAGTTGGCCTAAAATTGTGGACACGAAAGGCTCAGCTAATTAATAGGAAGGTGGGCAAATAATTGACTAAATCCATAAAAATGGAAGTAAAAATTACAAGTATGAATGTATTTTACTCATTGAGAATAGGAAAATGTAATTTTGTAATTATAACCATATTATAGAAATTTTTTGAAGATAAAGATTAATTTTATGTTTCCTGAGTGCTAGAGGTTTTTTTGACTTGAAATCAAATAATTTTTATGGTCTCCCATAAACTATTAAGATAAAGTTACATAGAATGAAACATGTTTCAGTTAGAAAAATGAGGTAGAATTAATTTGGATCTCCTAGAAACACAATAATATCTATAGCTTTGGGGAAACACCGAATATTATGATTAAATGCATACCTCCATAGTAAAAAAAATAGCTGATTTCTGTATTCAGAGTCGGATATGTTTCGTGTGATCACTTTATAATTAAACTATGTCATTGTAACACATTATTCAGCTTTTGATCCAACATTTAAGAGACATATTAAAATGGAGTCACTCAAGCTATGTGACTCACAATTGAATTCAAAAGTAATTAAGGACACTCAGTGAAGATCATCTGGTAGAGTGCTGGCTTAGCATGCAGGAAGCCAGGTGTGGGATCCCCAGCAATGCATACAGTGGTCATGGTTATTCATGCCATCAGGAGGTGTAGAAGTATTCAGGAAGTGGAGGCAGGGGCATCACAATTTCAAAGTCATCTTTGGTTATACTGTGAGTTCAAGGACAGTCTGTGGCACATGATACCAAATACCAAAAAAGTAAAGTAAATAAGTGTAAATATTCAATGAAAATAAAGTTGAAGAGAGAAATGTGGGGTTTCAAACCAAACTCTTGTCTTTTCTTTGTGAATCTGAGCCTTTACAGTAGAGCCTGGCAAGACCCGGGCACCCATATAGCATGAAAGACAGTAGAAAAATCAATCACTTTCCTATTTGATTTAAGGTCTAATTCAAAAATGGAACACATATGTGGCAGTGTTACTGGGACTAATATCCTGTGGCTAGAAAGTTTATAGGCCCTAGGGGAGAAGGTACTACTAATATTCTGTTAAATTGACGTAGTATTAAATTAATAACTAAAGAGTCATCATTATACCCATTGATTAGCACATCTTTCAACCATCAACATATAAAATTCTTTGGCTATAGTTGGAAATTAACACAGAGACCCACAACTATCCAATGTATAGAGAATAAGAGACTCCTGAGTGCTGAGCCCTAAATATGACACCTATGTGACACTCCTCTGCTGGAGTCTCAGTGATCATTGCAGAAGAGTAGGGAAGAAAGACTTGAAGTGTCAGAGGTTCTGGATGAGTACAAGGAAATAGTCTTTTCTACATACAATAGGCCAGTTGTACAAATGACCTCACAGCAGTTATGACAGCATGCATAATACCTGTGCAAGCTCAAGGCACATAATATCTTTGCATGTAGAGGGGAGCAGAGAACCATGTTCCACCCTAGCTGAAGAGTTACTGGATAAAAAAAATGAGGAAGTTGAGTTGGTAGGGATCCAAGAAGGAAGTATGAAGAGTTATGGGAAGAATAATGGGAGGGGTGTATATGATCAAAATACATGATATGGAATTCTCAATGAACAATTGGAAAGGAAGAAAATTCTGTCAGACAGAACAAAAAATGTAATTAAAAGCAAGCAAATGTTTAATGAAACAGGTGTACCACTAAATAGATCAGCTTTCCTGAAACTAGGAATGTGATACCAACCTTTGAGAGAGAACCAAATATTCCTGAGCTAGGATGGCAATGACTATCCTCTGTTTTTCCCCTTCAGGACAAACATAAAGTAACACAGTGCAAAATAATAAAAATAATAAATGGATAACACATTTTAGTTGTTACCAACTTACAAAATTAAACTTTTCAATTTTCAGTAAAATATATATTGTACTAAATAGACTATGAACATATTAATGGCAGCTAAATAATACTAAACACTAAACTTTTACAAGTCTCATTTAATTTCACATAGTGAAATTTCCTTATTTTACACAGTTTCATTTTATGTTTTAAACACTTTTATGTGACAAAGAAGAGCCCTGAATATGATTGTGGTAATAAATAGTGTTTTGATCTATGTGTCTAAAATAATCAAGCACTTAATACATCTATCACTCTATAGGCAAGCAATGTTTTTTGAAATTATTATTGTTGCTTTGAGAGAGGTCTCAGTACATATCCTGATTGGCCTGGGACTCATTATGCAGACCTGGCAGGCCGCAGACTCGTGGTTATTCTCTTGATACTGTAACGGAAGTACTGGGATAATGGGTGTGTGTGACCACATTTGGTTGAAACTGTACCCTTTTCAATACAGTGTAAATTTTTCTTCTAATGATAATAAATTTTCAAATTGATTCCATGGTTTTAAATGTTCAATTAAGTGAGTAAGTTTATGACAAATTACCTATCATGAATGTAAATTACATAATAAACTCACCTTCAGTAAATATAGCTAAATGAAACACATGAAAATGCATGTTTTCAAACTATACACCCTCACATCAATAAACATTTAAATATTTAGCATATTTCTTGCCATTAGTGGTAGGCATGACTTTTTGCATATTAAATCAAAGAAGCCATTGGGCTTTTTTATAATCATATTTGGAAATAAAAAATCAGTAGGAATTGTGAGTTAAGTTACTGAAAACAGTATAGTTATTGTGTACAAGCACATTATGACAAACTTGGTAGAAGCAGTTTTCTTTGGGAAGGACTTTTGAAAATGTAAAATCTTATTCTATTAGAAAATCATAGCCATTTATATTAAAAGCAAAGAATTGATATGTTTTATTCAATCTCTAAAAGTTTAGTGTGTAATATATATTGTTTAATTAATTAATAACACACAAACATTAATATTGACTAATTAACCACATCACAAGACTCTGAAACTTCTACTCACAGGTAAATTAGCTTTGAAAAAGACATGACTTTCTTCTGAGTTGGGTTTCTTATATCCCATGTGGGGACTGTATACATCTGTGATAGTTCCTGCATTCTATTCCCCTCCTCTACTGCAGTACTGTAGAGATGGGTCTGTTGCCAATCCCACGAGACAGAACCTGTACACAACATCCTTCCACCCACCCTCCATTAAACACAGCAAGGAAGACCTGGAAGAAGACTCTTCTGTGGTAGCCAGAGAACTATAAAGGTGCCATCTTTAGCTGCCAAGGCAGCATCTCTCCTGCTATACCTAGAGCCCTGTTCCATTCTTATTGAAGCTCTTTTGAGTAGGGAGATATGTAACTGAAATCAGGAAGGACAACACTGAAAACACATACACAGCTATGACCTCCTCCTTTCTGTGCTATGGTGAATGTGGCTCTACCTGTACTCATATGTAAATGTATTAATGAGAACCTCTGAAGAAGTGACCACATTTAGGAACCCTCACCATGGTGCTGAAAGGGACACAGCTATCTTGCATTTTGGTGATACATTTTAAAATATTGGTTCAAAAAAACAGTGTTAAATGAAGAACAAATTACAATGGCAAAAACCAAAGACACACCCTGTGGTCTTATCAGTCAAGAAATCTCTAAGAACAAAATCTGGATGCCATTTACATAAAGTGAAGCCAAGGCAAGGGATCAGAGCAGGGTAAAATAGACAATACCCACCCCCAAAAAGAAAAAGTGGGGCTGCACTTATTTCAGTGGTTCATTGTACTTGATGTTCTTTCCAAAGACATGAGTTCAGTTTTCAGCACCATAGTCATGTCACACACACACACACACACACACACACACACACAAGAAAGAAATAAGACACAAATGCATGATCATATATTCAAACTATGTCACCTTGATAGATCACAGAAAACTTGAAATTTTATCATTCCAATAAAACTGTACTTCTGTGTGTGACAAAAAAGTCCTGCAACCCTACTCCCTTCACACACTGACCATTCTGAAGACTCATCCACTCAAATGCACCTTCACATACAGACAGAAAGACAGACAGACACACACAAATAATCCAAATCATGAGGCATGTTGTGATTCCTTCTTTCTTATTTTGATTATATTTATTTTTCCATTTTTCATACAAAAAATGGACTGCTTCATGAATTTGCAGGTAATCCTCACACAGAGGCCATGCTAATCTTCTTGTATCATTCCAATTTTAGTATATGTGCTGCCAGAGCCTTCAATGACTGCCCATTCTTAGTGTCATTTTCGACAGCCCATCTGCTCCTTTATAACACCCCATCTCCTTTAAAGACCTCATCGCTTCCTTTATAACTACAATAGGGATCAGAACCTACACTGTTCTCCCAAGAAGTCAAAAAAATGTTAGATCCAAATTACCATTGTTTTTTCAGATCTGCCTTACAGAACAAACTTCAGTCACTCCCACATTTTCTCACAATCTGTATATCAATTATACCAATGGCCTTCAGACGCTCCATCTCCCAGTTTCAGGCAGACACCTAATGAAAACTCCCTCTGGGCTGTTCCCTCTGTGCAATATTTCCTAAACGATACCAATTGCCCATTTTGTAGTAACTACCCTGACACACCAGTTACCATCAACGATCAAAAAAACTGTCTCAGCTTTGAAAAACAAATACCTACCCAAAAAAAAAATTGTGCTGACATAACAAATGGGGGACAAAATGGTGGTGGCAAAACACAGCCAAGTCATCACAGGGGAGCACAACTGAAGGTAGGCCCTCTATAGCTTTCTGATCCTATTCTTCAAAGCCAAAGACTATAAGACTGGCATCCTAAGTTGTACAAAAATATTTCAACCCCTACAAATTTTCAATCTTAGTGAGGAAAAATAATGTCCACACATGAAAGACACCACCTGGGGAGGCTGACCTTGGTTGATGCATTGTCTTGCTGACAGTTTCCCAGGTAGAGGCAACAGCCATCTCCAGCTGCCTCTCCTCGGAGCAGGACCTGCTGCTATGGGGATTCAGAGTACTCTCCATATCCAGCTTGTGCAAGTCAGCCAGCACCACATTCCAGCTATGCATGTGTGCATGTTTGCCACACTGCAGAACTCAAACATCCTCCCTGAACCAAATGACCTAGGGTAGGGGACAATAAACTCCAAGCCTTTATATCAGTGTTGCCTTAAGGGAGGGACTTCAGAAACCACGGTTAACATTGGTTTAATCTTAAAGGCTACCTATTTACCATATATAGCTTGGAACAAATTCTTGCTTTACATGGTATCTTTGTATTAGTGACCACATAATTTTGATTTATATTCATCCTAGATCTCTCTAAACACCACACAGAAAGGCTGCTTGGAAAATGAAATAGCTCAAACATAGACTGTACACATACATCAGACATTTGAAACTCTGGCTAGATAAAATTTCTTTAAGTATAAAAGATTTTTATTTGTCAAATTTTACATGATTTTTTATTTTTAAATTTCTAATTCTTTTAGACATATTATGAAAACCCACCCTGACCATTACTACTACTTTAATACAAGAGATGAATTATCATTTAATTTGAAAATTTCCCTATTAAGTTTAAAATCTTGGCAAATAGGTCACTAACTAAAAATGAGAAAAGTTGATCCTATAAGTGAAATATCTACACATTCAACATTTTATTTATAATCCATCTTATCTAGAATGTAATTTGTATTTAGAGGTTTGTCAATTAAATAATTTAATATAGATATTTACAATAGGGCCTACTACAGACTCCAAGTATTATACAAATATTGAATCTTAAAATTATACCAAACGTTACAATGATTTATCATTTTGGAATAAGAATTTGGCACTTGTGGGGCAGGAGAAATGGCTCAGCAGTTAAGAGCACTGGCTGTTAGTGCAAAAGGCCCAGGTTCAAATCCCAGTACCCACATGATGACCAACAACCATCCATAATTCCAGTTGCAGGGGATCCAACACCTTCTTCTGACCTCCGGGGTCATTGGACAACACCAGTGCACTTACATACATGGAGGCAGTACACTCATACACATCAAATAAAAATAAATCAATCAAAAAATTTTAAAAAGATTTGGTATTTGTTATTGTTATCATTGTTCTTAACTGGGTGGAAGAGAATGGAGATTGGGAGTTGTTCTGTGAGATGCTGTCTTCTGGACATGATATGACCTTTGCCTTAAGCAACTCAGAGCTCTGGTTACATGCACAAGTCCTGTGCAGAATCAGTATAGTGAAAAGTGAGAGACTGAATATGAATCGGGGGGGATGTTCTTTAGTCCCCACTCCTAGCTGTAGAGCTATTGGAAGTTGATGGGGTCTAAAGGGGTAAGAGTCACTTTTCTTTGGAAGATGGCTACTGGAAGGTTTTCCATGTCCCAGTGGATGAACCCACAGATATGTCTATATGGGCAGCACTAATTGGACTCAGTGCATCATAAACAATTAGGAAGACAGGACCATGATGTTGAGAGAAGAAGGTGTGGACAGGGGTCTTGGGGACTCAGAGGCAGCAGTGAGGAAGTTAATTGTCAGAATATTTTTTCTTGCAGTTACACAGTAAATAGGAATTCTTCCATGCTACTACACTTATAAATGTCTGACAAATTACTTTCAAGTAATAAAACAAGCAACCAAATAATAGGTATATTGAATTTGATCAGTAATATGGAATCTCCTTGCTTATTGCACAGTCTCAATAATCAAGAAAATAATGACCCCTTATCCTCAGCTTTGATCTTGATTAAGTGAATTTATACCTCAAAGGGCAGACAAAAATACATCAATGTATGTAGATACCATTTTGATACATACCATGGTTTTCTATTTCACTATTCCAAGAAGAATTATTATTATTAATAATTATTTCCAACTCACTGTCTCTTCTGTGAATCCAATAGACATCATCAGTTGTTTTTCTAAGACTGCTCAATTCTCCTAATTAATTACTTGCTAATCACATAAAAATGTGAAAAAAATATGTATTTAAGCTTTTAGATCATATTGAGAAAAATTTAGTGATTGTTTCCAGGAACTTCATAGAACTGCCTATGTTTCCCCCTATTTAATTTAGCTATTGTTAATTTACTCCAGCAAATCTGCAGAGAGCAAAGAAGAGCCTTTCCTATTACTCTTGCACTCTGCAGGTTCACTTCATTAACGTTGTATTTCACAAGTTATTTGTACCAATAAGAACCTAAAATTTGGACATAAAGATGTGTATGAACAAATACCAAATGCACACTGAATGTTGGAGCCCAAAAACAGCTCCATCAAGGCTCTTAGTTGCTGAGCCATCCCCCAGTCCTCTATGTAATAAGTAATCTTAATTTTATTTAAGAATGTGTCCATTGGCAACAAAAGCTTATCGTATTCTGATCTTAATTACTAATATTAACTCGTGGATTACTCACTATTCACTCTGTGTGTGTGTGTGTGTGTGTGTGCGTGCGTGTGCAAGATGGCCAAGAAAGGTTAAGTGCCTTCAGAGTTCAGAAGGGCTTCATAGAAAGCAGAGGTAGAATCCTGATACAGATGCAGGGAAAGATCTCTACATGGGACCAGATAAGAAGCTTTTTAAAGTTTACACAGAAAATGATGCTCACAGAACAAATTTGTTAAATGCATGACTGAGTGCAGGCAGTTCAATGGTCAGGTTGAAGTGGACTATGCATCACAGACCAGAGAAATGGTGCTGGAAATAGAGCTCAGGGACTGAGAAAAATTCCTCCATTGTGACAATATTTTTGTCAAAGCCTCGTAAGGACTAATCTTATGAAAGATCAGTATGCAACCACAACTCAGTCCTGGATTAAGCTTCTGGAATAGTCCCAGGTCACAAGAAGAAATTTGTTGCTCACAGTCCTGGATTTTCTGACAATGTTTATGGTATGTATGTTTCTATGCATTCTTGATTTACTTTGATGAGATTGTAAGTGGTCAAATTTGCTTACATGAATGTCATTTATCACTCGGCTCCTCGTGGTTCACGATACACACACACGCACAAGATGCAGTCTTTCTGCCTCAGCATTACACTAAAACAGGACAAACTGTTTTGTAAGATGCACTCACTTAGGGTAGGCACAATATGAATGACACTGTTTTACAGAACATGGAGTGACTTATGGAAGGGTATGATGCTGGTGTCCACAGGAAGACTCTGACAACATTCACATATTTTAGCCCTTAATCTCTGCAGAAAGCATGTGGTGCAGCACATAGCAGCACTACACTTTCTGGAGGACAGACCAGGAAGATAGCTCGGGTGTAGGAGAGATCAGTTTTGTCCTCTGGCCTTCACACACGTTCCAGGACATGCAAATACCTACTCACAAATATCAAATATAGACAATAATATATATATATATTTTCAGTATCATTAATTTTTCAAATTTTTAGTCTTCTTGAGACAGGCCCAGCTGGTTCGGAACTCACTATGTAGACCAGGTTGGCCTTGAACTTACAGAGATCTTCCTGCCTCTGCCTCCTGAGTGTTGGGATCAAAGGGGTGCACAACCATGTCTGACAGTATATAAAACTTAAAAAGTGTTTGTAGAGGAATAAGTTTTGATGAGCCCTGGATTTTCCACATTTGGTTCTTTAATAAATCGGTAGATTTAAAATTCAGTACAGGGGCTGTGGAGCTGGCTCATTTGGTAAAGTGCTTACCACACAAGCATGAGGATGTGTGTTTCATTACTCAGAATCCATTAAAAATGAGCTAGGGACAGTGTGCACCTGTAATTCCAGAAATGGGAAGGCAGAGACAAAAGGATTCCAGGGGCTTGTTCATCAGTCTATTTGAATCAACGAGATTTGCATTCAGTGAAAGAACTGATCTCAAAATGATGAGTATTAACGCTGTAGAGATGGCTCAGCATTTAAGAGCACTTCCTGCTCCACTAAAGGACCAGATTTCAGATCTCAGCACCCATATTGGGAGGCCAAAAAACACTCATAACTTTAAATCCCATGGCATTCAATACTTCCTTTTGGCTCCGTGGGCACCTGAACCACACACATAACTAAAAAGTCTTTCATAAAATGTGGGACAACAAGATTAAAAGATGAAAAGTCTAACACCTTGATCTTATCCCCAGAACCCACATAATGGAAGGAGAAAACCTATTCAGGTAAGGTCTCCTCTGACTTTTACACTCATGCTGTGGTGAATGAGCCCCAACTCACAATAAAAATAAATAAACACAGAATAAGCAAAAGAAGT